CCTTGAGCTGTTGTAATCAATTAGCCCATCAGCGCCGGGATATATGATAATTACCCGCCTCTCCTCCTCTGTGACTGGCTGCCGAGCGCACCATCATGCTCCAGTGGCTGATTAATATGCAAATAATCAGCCGATGGAATGATAAATGGGAGTCAAGCTGTGCATGTGAGTGCGAGGCCGATTATGATGAATAGCACTTGCTCGCTGTCCTACTTAAAGAAGCCTTTCTCTGTCATTTTTACCACAAATTAAGCCAAGTAATATATACATTATAGCTGTGAGTTCAGCTAGAGGTACAATAGGTGGGGATAAAAAGGAATAGGAAATGGTCAGCTTTGGAATCAAGGTGGTTAGCGTAAACAGAAATGTAAATGCCACACCATTTTCTTGTTTAATGCAAACTATGAAGAATTTAAATGAACTTTGATATTACGATGGATTTTAAACACACACCCAGACAAAAATCTAAGATTATTGTAATTTTGAAAATTAATTGTTTTAGTTATATTATATTGTAACATAACATTATAATTATAACTGAATTATAACATTTTGATCATTTTAATGTGTCCTAGTTGAATAAAAGTATTATTTCCTAAAAAAATTTACTGATATACATTTTTGAACCGTAGTGTACGTTTTATATTATATTATATTATATTATAACTCTGTTTTTTTTCTTTTAATTATGTATATATATATATATATATATATATAATTTTTTTTAAACTGCATATTTTGTATTTTTTATTAACTGTATTAAACTTGGCATGAGGATATATGTTTGCACACACATTCATGCGGTGACGTGCCAGTGTGGATAGTTGGGGCGAAAGTGTGTTTAAATGAACTGGCCAGGCTTGACCGATTTGGTAGATAATCTGAACAGCAGGCACCATAATGGCCCGAGTTTAGAAGTCTGTAATGGGTTTCTTTCTTCCAGCTGCCCTGTTCTGTGCCTCACAGCTTTCAGCACGGAGCACTTAGCACTGAGCTAATGCACCTCAGCGAAAAAAAACTGCAAATGGTGGCAGGGCACAGGAAAGAGCCCGATCTGGATTTAAAACAGGACGTTTTTGATAACTCAGATTGATTTAGGTCAACCTATTGATATATGCTGATTTATAGAAAGAAGGGAGCCAGTTATTGCTTAAAAAACAAAACGAATATTTGAAACTTGTCATTTACTCGCCCTCATGTTGATCCAAACCAGTATGACTGACTTTCTTTTGTCTCCACTCTACATTCACTGTAACTGCACAGAAAATCATTACGTTCTTCAAAATTTTACTGTGAAGGCACTGAAGAAAGAAAGGTCCATACAGGTTTGGAATGACATTAGGCTTAGGAAATGGTCATTTTTTATTTTTTGAGTGAACAGTCTCTTTCAGAAAAACCATGTGAGAAAATTAAAGGAAAAAAGCAACTCTAAAGGTAAAAAAAAAAAGACTAAAAGCCTAAATAGATAGATGTTACAACACCACACAAGGTTCTTCCTGTTCGCTGTCTGTTGTCCTCTAGCAAGTGTCCTGTATATTGCCTGTCCTTACTGACCCTCATTAGGACGACACACTCAACCAGGCTAAAACAAGCTCTCCTCCAGGGTGTGTGTATGTGTGTGTGTGTGTGTGTATGTATGTGTATGCATAGGTGTGCACGTGTGTGTGTGAGTTGAAGAGCACTCCGTGACCCCTCATCAGTCTCTGCAGATCCTCTCCTCTGAATGTCAGTCCGTCCTTGCGATCGTCCAATCAGAACCCAGTTAAGATTAGACTGTGCTATAGTTTGGGAATGCCTCGATCAGATGTTTTAGGACCCGTTTAGTTTAAACCTGTTGTGCATGTATGTGGCGCGATCCCAACTTGCTTCAAAATTAGGGCCAAAAAGATGTTTATTCTGACTTCTTAAATGTTTTTCAAAGAAATCTGACCTGCATTTATTTGATCAAAAATACAGTAAAAACCGTAATATTGTAAAATATTATTACTATTTAAAATAACTTTATGGTCACTTTTGATCAATTGAATGCATCCTTTCTGAATAAAAGTATTGATTTCTTTAAAATCCACACTTGTAGTTTGAGGTTTGAGTACGTCCCAATCGGATATTTTCGAACCTGGATTTAAACCTGTTGTTTGCGTATGAGACTCAATCCCATCATGCATCAAAATTAGGGCTGGACAGATGTAGGCTTTCACGTTTGTGCCGCTTATTCCGGCTCTGTGTGTGTGTGCTCGGCCACACGCGTAGCTGCATTAACCAGCTGTGTGTCCAGATGTGGCCGCCCCTCCCGTCCTCTTATCACACGCATACACACTGGTTACTTGCAGCATGTCACGCAGGAACATCCTGTCATTCCCGCTCGTGTCCCTAAAACACCTCCTACCTCCCTCGCTCCCCTCCCACACATACACACACACACACACACACACACATACACACAGACCATGCCGCCAGTCAAACTGTCACCAGGCTGTGCGTGGTCTTGCTGCAGATCTGATATGACTGCCTGCTCCCCGCCTTGAGCGCCCTGCTCTCTGTTTGCCGTGTCCCCCAGCTCGGCAGGCAGCTAATCCAAACTGACGCTCCCTCCCGATGCTCTCTTCACCACCAGCACTGCCCTGCACTGCCACAGCCAACGAATCAGAGAGTCGAGCTGAAATAGAGGGGTAGAGGAAGATGGGAAATGAAAGGGAAGAGTATTAGAGAGAGTGTTGGATGCTTGATGTCTGCGTATTAAAGGAATAATAATTTACTTAAAATGAAAATTCGGTCATTATTTAGTTGCCCTTATGTCACTGCAAACATGTATGGCTTTCTATTTTCCTTTAAACACAAATTGTATAGTTTGTTTCTTTCTTTTTTTTGTTAGTTTGTGGATGAGATTACAATTTAAGCTCTCACATTTCTAGATTTTTTTCGTCGTCTTTTTAAAATATTTCTCAGGGTTGTACTTATTATAAGATTATACAATTATATATAAAATATAAAAACACTTTAATTTTAAAAATTTGCCTTTAAAAATGTAAATATAAAAATAAAACGGTGAGAAAACTCATTTAGGGTGACAGCATCAAAATACATGATTGTACATGTACACAATATATAAAAAATGAGCAAATGAAACTATGACAGAGGGAAAGATTTTAAAACCATGTGCTCTTATGCTTTCTAAGGTTGCATTTATACAGTAAAAATACAGTATAAAGCTAACATATAAAATTTTTGAATATTATAAAGAACAGCTTTCAATTTTAATGTATTTTAAAATTTAATTTATTTCTGTGATGTATTCCTTTTCTTTCTGAAACCATTCTAATATGCTGATTCTGTGGTCAAGAAACATTTCGCATTATCAATTATTATCAAAACAGTTGTGCTGCTCAATATTTTTGTGGAAACTTTTTTTTTCTGTGTTCTTTGAAGGATAGAAAGTTCAGCATTTATTTCAAATAGAAATTTAGTAATATTATTAATGTCTTTACTGTCACTTTTGATCAATTTAGTGCATCCTTGCTGAATAAAAGTATTCATTAAAAAAAACAAAAACTGAACTGATCCCAGCTTTGAACGATTGTGTAATTTCGGTCTTGCAGCTTGGAGATTCTTCCAAAAAAAATAAAAAATCTGTTTCATAGAAGAAAGTCATACAGGTTTGGAACAACATGAGGGTGAATAAATTGACAGAATTTTTATTTTTGGGTGAACTGTCCCTTTAAACACAGAAATGCGCATTATTGGAGGAGCTATCTTGGTACATACCATATTAATTCTCAGAACACCAAACGCGTTTGTCTCTCTTCTTCGTTAATTTAGTTGTCTCATTATGCTTCAAGAGAAGCTGTGACTTGGCATGACATGATGCATCTGTCACTGTCCATCACTTCCTGTTGCTGAGCAGGAAGACCTTGGTTAGGGTTACGGTTTCATTGGCTACTCGCTCCATATTTAGACAGATCTTCGTTCGGGCCTTCTGTCGATTAGTAATGCCCAGTCAACGGACGAGCTCACTTGCTGCATTGGCGCAACGTCTTAATTCTGTTCCTCTCGTTTCCATAGAGATTACTCCGAAGACCTCAGCCAGCTGCAGTCCTGCCCCAGAATCCCCTCTGAGTTCGGCTGAGGAGTCTGTTAAAAGCCAGCAGGAGGAGCAGATGTGCCGAGCGTCCATCCAGGAGCCCAGCGAAACTTCCGAGTCCCAGCCCGGCACGCCTCTACCGTTACCTTTGCCGGGACACTCAGGGCTCGGCATACAAGAGATGGTAGCGATGTCGCCTGAGCTGGACACCTACGCCATCACTAAGAAAGTGAAAGAAGTTCTAACAGATAACAACCTTGGTGAGTGAGTTAAAAAACACTGGTGACCAATGTACCTCAGTGTGAACGAAATATGGACTAGCTGCAGTCGACTCAATAATTTCAAGTAGTTTAGCTAAAATGAAGCTACCGTTCTGAAAAATTAGTTACCTACACTGCCGTTCAAAAGTTTGGGATCAGTCATTTTTTTTTTTTAAGAATTTAAAGAAATTAATACTTTTATTCAGGATGTGCTAAACTGACAAAAAGTGATAGTAAATACAAGACATATTGTTAGAAAAGATCTTTATTTTGAATATGCTGTTCTTTTTAACTTTTTATTCATCAAAGAATCCTGAAAAAAGTATCACAGGTTCCAATATATATATAATATTAAGCAGCACGACTGTTTCCAACATTGATAATAAATTAGCATATTGAAAAATCAGAATGATTTCTCAAGGATCATGTGACACTTGAAGACTGGAGTAATGGCTGATGAAAATTCAGCTTTGCATCACGAGAATAAATTATATTTTTAAGTATAATAAAATAGAAAACTGTTGTTTTAAATTGTAATAATATTTCAAAATATTACTGTTTTTATCTCTATTTTTGTCCAAATAAATGCAGCCTTGATGAGCAAAAGATTCTTCTTTAAAACATTAAAAATCTTGTTTATCCCAAACTTTTGAACACTATAGAAATGGTCATGGTTGACTGGTGGAGCATTCTACAGTTTTTACTATTTCTGTTATGTTTTTGATGCCCTGTTTTGTTAATTTGATTGATCATTTTTATATATAAATTATAAAATACTATTATAAATAATATTATAAAATAATTTAAATATATTAAAAAAAAATTTAAGAATTTGTAATAACTTAAAAATATTTAAGAATTATATATTTAAAAATGTTAATATAAATTTGAGTGGTATTTGTGGTCAGGCATAAAAAATTAACTTATTTCGGCACAAATATATATATTTGCTAACACTTGCTTACACTTACGCTTGCTTCACTTGCTTACAAACCATAGTAATGCTTGATTTCCGAGTGATTTTTTAAAAAAAATTTTTTTGAGTCAGTTCATTTAAATCAGTCAAACGGGTTCCCAAATGATCTGAATAATTCATTAGCGATTTGGTGAAAGTGATTTATTAAAATCCTTATCTAGTAAACCACAGTCTACTGGAAATGTCATGGAAATTCATCGCTCAAAAAAAACAACTCTGAGTCTAAATGGACTGATTTGCTAAATGAATTAGACTTCATAGACTACTACTGTGTATTATTCCATAAATTTGACTCATTATTAGATACAGTACATGGTGTATTTTGTCCAAGAGAGACAATACATATAATAATGTCTCTCCACATGAGAGGACAGGTGGAGGACAGGTTGGCCCTGCTTTAGCACTTAATGGCCGTCCACTACGACTGTCTCAATGTCCCTGCCATAATTAATGAGAGGTCGAACGAGAATGTCACACTGGACACAGCTACTTTCTCCTTCACCGTTTGTTTTAACTCGCACCATCCGTTGTCCTCATGTTCAAAAGAGAATTGGCCAAAAACACTTTGTCTTTGTGAACTTTGTGTTCACACTTTCTTCTTTTAAACTCATGTGATCACACACAATAAAACAAAGGAGAATACGGATATATCGCGCAGACGATAGACCTCAGCGTGATACTGTGACAGTCTCTTTCATCTCGCAGATTCTCATTTCCCGACGCGATTTTTGTCTCGGGAGCAACAAAGATTTGTTGTGCTCTGTAGTGGTATTGACCTGTATAAAGTGCAGAATGTAAAGACAGCTGTGTTGATACGAGTCTGTGGGGAGAGAGAGAAGTAATCTTCTGGGATCGCAGGCTTTTGTTTTACTCTGGGGAACATTTCCTTTTTGAACATAGACGGATCGCAGTTATTGTCAAGAGGATTCAGGTGCCTTTTGTTTGGAGTGAAAAAAAAATCGTTGAAAGCTTAAGCGGCCGATGAAAACTGTTTGAAAGCACCTTGTCTTAAAGGTGGAGGTTAAAAGCGAAATCAGCAGAGCTTGTTTGATCAAGCTTTGATGCCACAACACAATAAAAACATGTTCTTAGGAACTTTGTTTTTTTAATAATAATATTGGCCCAAAATAAATGAAATGCATCTGGCCTCAAAACATATTTGGACACTTCAGACACATGAATTAATGTTTTGTATTGTATAACAAAACCAAATGGCTTATCGGCAGCATTCTCATGTGAAGGTTTCTTAAGGGATATGATTGTTTGTGTTTGCTTTTCAAACCATGAAAGCAGTTTGAAAGCACCTTTTCTTAAAGGTGGAGGTTAAAAGCAAAATCATCAGAGTTTGTTTGATCAAACTTGATGCCACAATACAATAAAAGCATGTTCCGAAATTTTTAAAATAAATAAAATCTATTCACAGTGGCCTCAAAATGTCTTTGGAGACTTACGACACAGTTAAAATGTATAAATGTCCGGCATTGTATAACAAAAGAAGTACTTCAAGTAAAACATTTCACAAAAATACTTTTGTTAGTAATAAAACGATATATTGTTAACAAGTATTTGGACCATTTCTGGTTGTCCGACGTTGATTCATATGAAGTTTGCTTGACAAACCGCTCTACAGGTCAGCGTCTGTTTGGCGAGAGCATCCTGGGTTTGACGCAGGGCTCCGTGTCTGATCTGCTGGCCCGGCCCAAGCCCTGGCACAAGCTCAGTCTGAAGGGTCGAGAGCCGTTCGTACGCATGCAGCTGTGGCTGAGCGACCCGCAGAACGTGGAGAAGCTCATGGACATGAAGCGGATGGAAAAGAAAGGTAATCTCCTTCCTTTAAAGGCATCCGTCTGGCCGCACACCAACAAACACCTGTTTGCAATTGTCTGTGTTGTTTCAGAATGTTTTTATTTCAGTGTTTATTAAAGTGCTTCACAGTTTGTTCAGTGTCGGCTCAGTTGGCAGGTCTTTTTAGGACGTTTAAAAGACGGCTGTCTGGTGTGGATTTTTATTTGTTTTTTGTTGATTTTTTTTCACTTGACGATGGAGCTGTGTTGCAGCAGTTTGCCTGGACCGTAGTGCTGATTTGGGTTGCGTTTCCAGTTTCCTTTCGACCGCTTTTTTCACTAACAAAATGCTGGTGCTGATTCTAGAGAGGTTCCATATAAAGAAAAAGCGGCTCATGGACGGATTTATTGGTTTTAGCCACTTTAAACCTGCTAGTTTCAAACCAGGAACTGCTAACGTCAGTATCCAGGGTGCAGGATAATGTCCTCACCACATTTTGTTTTCAAAACCTCAATCCAGCCACATTCACACAAAACTAAATGGTGCTTTTTTGACTATTTTTGTTGTTCTGCAAAACTATTTCAGCCACTGTAAAATCTTATATAATGTGTTTTTTTTTTTCAGAATGTTTTTTGTAAAGTGATTGTATTATATTCAAACAGCGTCTGCCAGTTGCATCAGATTTTGTGTCATAAAGACACTAATTTACACTTCAAAAGTTTGGGGTTGGTTTTTGAAAGTAATCTAATGTTCACCAAGGTTGCATTTATTTTATCAAAAATACAGTAAGGTACAGTAATATTGTGAATTATTATTATTATTGTAATTTAAAATAACTGATTGCTTTTTTAATATATTAAAATGTAATTGATTCCTGTGATGGTAAAGCTGAATTTTCATCATCATTACTCCAGTCTTCAGTGTCACATGATCCTTCAGAAATCATTACACTATGCTGATTTTGTGCTTAAGAAACATTTTTCATTATTATCATTGTTGAAAACAGTTGTACTGCTTAATATTTTTGTGGAAACTGTGATTTGTTTTTTCAGGATTCAGGAGATTTTTTTTGATGATTAAAGTTCAAAAGTACATAGTTTTAAAATATAAATCTCAATGAACAAAAATACTTAAAAAATAAAACATTCTTTATAAACATTATAAACTCTTTTACTGTCACTTTCGATCCATGAATGCATCCTTGCTGAATAAACAACGTAATAATTTGAATTTAAATATTAATCAGTTTACTTGTTACATTTTCGAAGCTACAAGTAAAATTTGTAAACGAAAGCTTAATCTGTCTTTCATTTTTCCAGTAACAGAAAAAAAGCTCAACAATTGTGTATTTTCATGCACAGCCATCGCAGATCGTCAGTACCTTGGTCATGTGTCCATATTTACATGCAGCACCTGCTAATTATCACCAACTGTGCGATTGTGTTTATCCAGTATTGATTCCAGCCGGCGCAGGAGTTGCAGAAAACAATCTTTAAGCTGCCTCTCGTCAGCGTTGCCTCTCTTTAATGTGAAGAGATGCGCGAGATGCCGGAGACAAGGCGGTCCGGCGGAGGGAGGCCTGATGGGCTGTTTGATTGCTCTTTTTTTCCACTCTTTAATAGCCCAGATGTGTCCTCTCGCTTCCGAATAGGCCGCACATGCTCTGTGAGGCCGCTCGTCGCTCCGCTGTCTGGATTGATGAGGGTGGGAGATGTCATTTCTGTGATCGGCTGTGACAGGCTGACGGCTCTGTGGGGCTGGCTTACTTAAAGTCCACTACACCCAGCGCCGGGCCCGTACGCCTGCGAGCTTGCAGCAGGCCAAGTGAACATTCCTGGAGTCATTAGGCCTGTTTAACACTCCTCTCGGGCTAAAAGTGACATTACTGGTGCTCCCTGGGTGACGATGACGATGATGGTTTTGTTGTGAGTCAGGCTTTGCGGTTCGTGTGCGCGGGGAGCGGGCGAAACTTGGGGGGGACCTCCTCATTAGAGTGAAACTGGCTCCACCATTTACCCCTAAAGCTCACTGTGCACTTGCCAGGGACGGAAAGCAACAGCTTTACTGTCGTGTTCTCTCACTCTGTTTTTGTCTCTCTCCACCTCGCTGTCTTTTGCTCGAGCTTTTCAGAAAAGAGTATGAATTTGACCTCGACGCTGGCTAGAGGCACAAAGCAAATTAGCCTTGCTTGGCCCTTGTTCTGAGAGTTTTGGCCACCAGCGGAATCTTTTACCATTGCTGTTGCCAAAGGCTCCTCTTCAGCAGACACTGAAACGCAGCGGAAATGACAAATTTCACACGCAGCTGTGTAGTTAGCTGTACTGAGCTTTTTTAATCAGAAAAAGGATATTAATGTGCTTGCTCTCTGTTTGTGTTCATGTAAGAAAAAATAGAAAGACATTATACTGATAACTCAGTGTTATTGTTACTGGAATTTGTTTTCATTAAACTGTAAGTTGTTCGTAGGAGAAGGAATTCCAGGCGTTTTGAGAATAGTTGGGCCAGGAATTCAGATTTGCACTTTCCTGCCAGTATTTTTTAATGGCACTGATCCTTTTATTTGTAATATTGTTAAATATAATTCCAATTTAAAATAACTGTTTCTTATATTAATGTATGTTAAAAGGGCATTTTATCCTGTGGCGCAAAGCTGAATTTTCTGCAGCCATTACTCCAGTCTTCAGTGTCACATGATCCTTCAGAAATTATTATAATATGCTGATTTGGTGCTCAAGAAACATGTATTATTATTATTATCAATGCTGAATACAGCTTAATATTTTTGTGGAAACCGATACATTTTCTCAGGATTCTTTTATGAATGTAAAGTTCAAAAGAACAGCATTTATTTGAAAAATTAGTCTTTAGTTACGTTGTCTTAAATGTCTTTACTGTCACTTTTGATCAAATTTATGTGCCCTTGTTAAACAAAAACAAATAATTGTTTCTAATTCTTAATAGTACAATATCTGGAATTTTTACACCTACAGTATAACTTTGACAGCTATTTACATTATAAATACATTTATAAGAAAATTATGACATGATGCAAAACGTTACTGCTTTGTGTGTCATTTTCAACCCATTTTCACTGACACTCACTAGAAAAAAATGTCATCCCATCATGTTATGAAGATTCATTGCTTTATTTGAATTAGCATAGTTTGCTAAACAGCAATGCTCGAAACAGAAACCGAATGTACAACAAATACAAAAACTTTGAAAGCTCTCAAATAATCAGGTAATTTGATAGTTTAGCCCTGGTGAATTTCCCTTTTGTTTGTTGATTTTTTTTATAATTATTTTTTAATTATTAGTTTTGTAATACTGATTTATGAGTCAAACTTACAAAGACCTCAAGATGCAATAATAATATTTGTAATCAAAGATTGCCCCCTACTGACTAGAGAAAAATACAGCAATCATGCATTTTATTAACTGTAATTTAATCTACAGCATCTAACACATGCTGTTCAGTAGGACGGTAACCAACATAGACATTGCCCCCAATATTAAAAGCATTGGCCAATCAATACGGGCCAGTACTTTTATTTCCTGTTCAGCGAATCATGTGAAGCATATTTCCCAGAACACATTTGCTTATTTGTATGTATATTCTCTGATTGTATTTACAGCTGTTCTCCATATGTGTTTTCCAGCCTACATGAAGAGGCGCCACAGCTCCATCGGTGAGAGTCAGTCGCTGGAGACTGGTCTGTCAGGAAGTGACCTCACTCAGGGCGCCAGCCCCCAAAACCTCTCCCAGCAGCAGCAGCAGCAGCAGCAGCAGCAGCCCCAGCTGAAGAAACCCCGTGTGGTGCTGGCTCCAGAAGAGAAGGAAGCTCTGAAGAGAGCCTACCAACAGAAGCCTTACCCCTCCCCTAAAACCATCGAGGAGTTAGCGAGCCAGCTCAACCTTAAAACCAGCACGGTCATCAACTGGTTCCACAACTACAGGTAATGAGACGCTTTAACCCTTAAAGTTACTCACACTGGTGTGTTGCGACTTTAATGTTGGATTCAATATAGTTAGAACTGCATCATCTTTAATTTCAAGTCCCGTTTGAAAAGCCTGCTTTAAACTGTGTTTAGTTTAAAAACTAATCCGCAGTGATGAAGCAAACAAGCAAACAGTGTCTTACTGACGCAATCTGGAACTTCGTTTACTTCGTTTATTACATGTGCAAATTGGTGGGCGGGGCTAAAGGGGCCTTGATGTAGAAGTAGGTGTTGATCTGCAGAGGTAGTGTTTTGACGTCACTGACGTCATACTGAGACGAAATACGAAATGAACCGTTTGGGCAACTTGGTTGCAATAAAACCATTGTCTATTGTTGTTGCCTTCTTCAGTAGTTTGTTATTTGTGTTCTGTCTCCTTCGTTTCTTTTCTGACTGTGAAACAATGAGCCGGGCCAGTGTTGCCACCTTGTGGACAAACTTATTCACATTATAAGGTGCTGAGGAACTCGCCCTCAGCTTCTTTGTCTTTCTGTGTTAGAAAAATTGGGCTACATGCTTACAGTACACACGTACCGTGCTAATGAAGAAATTAGGCTCTACCCTAACGTACGCGTAAAACCCAAGTATACTTTGGGCTTTAGCTTAAGTGATAGTTCACCAAAAATGAAAGTTCTGTCATTAATTACTCACTCTCATGTCGTTCCAAACCCTTAAGACATTTGTTTATTTTCAGAACACAAATTAAGATATTTTTTAAGAAATCTGAGAGCTTTCTGACCCTGCATAGACAGCAATGGAACTACCACGTTCAGGGCCCAGAAAGGTAGTAAGGACATCATTAAAATAGTCCATGTGACATCAGTGGTTCAATCGCAATGTCACGAAAGTCTTGAATAAAGTCGTTATTTTTGTTTTCTTTATGCACAAAAAGTATTCCCGTAGCTTCATAACATTGTGATTGAACCACTGATGTCACATGGACTATTTTAATGATGTCCTTGCTACCTTTCTGGGCCTTGAACGTGTCAGTTGCATTGCTGTCTATGCAGGCTCAGAACACTCTGAACGAAGGTCTTACGGGTTTGGGACAACATGAGGGTGAGTAATTAATGACAGAATTTTCATTTTTGGGTGAACTATCTCTTTATACATCCAGCTGCCTTTGTTCCTTTTCTCACAAATCTTGTTCGTTGTTCCCACAGATCCCGTATCCGGCGAGAGCTCTTTATCGAAGAGATCCAGGCGGCGGCCGGCGAAGGTGGGTCCCCCTCGGCGCGGCCCGGGAAGTCTGGGGGCGAGGGAGACAACAGCTGCGACGGCACCGAATCTGACAGCACCACGGAGGGCCGACCGAGCGGCTCCGAGGAGCGCAAGGGCTTCCTGGAGAGCCCCAGCCTCAGCCACAGAGATGAAGAGGGCGAGGCCGAGTTCCCCAGCGCCTCGGGCACCAGCAGGCCACGAGGAGGCATCATGGACAGCCTATTCGGCATCCCCGAGTCCATATCCGCCGCCGCGCCCCCCTGCCGAAACCCAAAGGACAGCAGTCTGCGCAAGAAGAAAGCAGCCAACCTCAACAACATCATCCACAGGCTGGAGAAAGCGGCGAACCGCGACGAGCCTCACGAATGGGAGTTCTGAGGCGCCGCCATGTTGTTGTCGTTTTATTCTCACTTTGTCCCTCACTGAGCTAACCCGGCCAAGCCTGGTGCACACACAACTCCGGTTAACCCAAGGGTTTTCGATTCGCTGTTTAGAAGTGGGCTATCAGAGACAAGAACAAGAAAAGGAAACAAGTTTTTAGTCTGTTTATTTTGTGAAGCACTTAACGGCCCTGCTGGCCACAGGGCTGTGACACCATTGGCTAATGGTGAAGACACAAAACTGAAAAGCACAGGAGAAGGAGCGTTCCCACGAAATATTCTCAAGACTGGCTACAGTCGCAAAAAAACAAAAACACATTATGATATCACAGTGTCTCTATTTCTAATAGAGACGTTCTCACCAACAAGCTGAATAACTGTTACAATAATTGATCAGTTCTCAAGAGTCTTGGGAGTTTCCTCTTTTGTATCATGTAGTCTTCAGCTGTCAGCAGAGACTAGTTCGAACCGGTTTCAAACCAGAAGTCAAGCATTTAAAAGCAAGTGTTGGCTGAAGGAACACGGGTGCACCGTCCCACCTGCCTCTCCCTCCCTACCCCAGAGGAGGCCATCCAATGGCTATGCAACTCTAGTACGCAATGGATTCCAGCGTAATGGAACCCGCATTATTTTCACAGTTCGGAAGCTTCTCCGATGCGAGAACAAAATCCTTTTTATAGCAATTAAGTTGCCACCGAGAGATTGCACAGTCAGTTGACTCTAAACAGCACTCCTTTTGATTTTACACGCCGACGGCCTAAAAGAGAAAAACAAATCATGCGAACGAAAAATTATCATCGTAAATAAGAATCCACGATCACGCTAAAATTCATACTGTTGTTGTAAGGTCGACGCAAATGGGAGACGGGAGTAATTTCATAACTCGATAGCTAAGTGTCAATTTTTAACGTTATTTAGGTCTCTTGTAAGGGTAGCGCTCGTTAATTTTTTTCCATAGCTTTAATCGCCTCCGCGACTTGCGTTTTGAAGCCCGCGGAGGTCTTGTTTAATAATAAACGTCATTTTAGGCCAAAACAAAGACAGATAGTGAAGAAAAAAGGATTTGTACAGTACTTTGAGTAAATATTCCTGACAAGATATTTTTTAAAGAGAATGAACAAGCCTGATTTTTATCCTCTTATAATAGAACCATACATCAGAGACCTCTAACCAAGTTGAGCGGTTTGGGCCCATAGAATTACAATTCTAATCCAATATCTATGGTGTTATAAATTCTAATTCTATGGTGTGGCCATGGGCCACTGCACTGTATGGGCTGGTCCTCAGCACCAGGGTACCGGACGCTGAGTGTGGGGGGAAACCCACCTAACCGCTCGCTCTCGTGCAAACTCGAAACTTCAGGTTTTTCACCAGCTTCTCCATTCACTGTTCACCGTATACAAGCTTTTCGTGGCGTCCGCAACATGTTCACGGCACACATCTGTCCTCCGAGACAACTGGGAAAATTCCTTACGAAACGGACTTGTTTTGTTTTTTCTTCATACTGTATAGGACTGAGGACTCGGACACATTTGCATCTACATTTCTTGTTTAACACAATTTTTTTTTTTAAAGAGGAAAATATGTAGATTGTGAATGAAAAGCTCTTTTACTTAGGTGAATCTCTACACTCACGCGTCAGAGGACGCGGCAAGGACTCGGCACCTCTGTAGAAACGTTCTTTCTCTCCTGAAACACCTTTCGAAGCCTGCTCACCTTTCACCTCCGGCCCTTGTCGTCATTGTATGCAGTTGATTTTGTGAACGAAAGCGCAGATCGGTGGTGCCACGCGCTCGTCTGCGTGCGAACCTTGAGTGTGTGTGTGTGTGTGTGTGTGTGTGTGATTGTTGACAAGAGCGATTTATATTTGTATATTACTACTACTACTCTCCACAGGCAGTGGAAGCAAACACCTCCTCACGTCCCTAAGCTATTTAGCAGTCCTGCAGCATATCACATAGTACATTTAAGTTCTTTTTATTTACACGCATAAACTAATGGTAGATATTTTTTGTTTGTTGGTGTGGTTTGCTTATTTATAGATGCTGTCTTTTACATATTGATGTCTTATATTGTTATACGTGTTCTTTTTTTGTAATGGAAGGGACTATGAAAGGTCAGGTTACATATTTTTAGACTAATAGACTGCCGGCAGTATTGGATTACATTTAAATGATGTACTTTTGATACATGTCTATTGATTAATTCTGAAGATTATAATTTTTTGTTTTTTTTTTTCATATATTTTACTCTGTTAGTGAGCTGGATGAACATTTACTACATTGACAAAGGAAGCAGAATTCTATGTATTGCATTAATGATTTTAATTAGTACGCATTTTAGATGTTTTAACCATTTTTAAAGATGACAATTCAAGATAAATTGCGTTTGGTTGTATTCACTCTACAAAGGCAAACCGATTGATGCTCTTGAATTGGGTTTTCAGGTAATTAACCTGCGAACGTTCTGAGATTACGTACGTTTATAAATCGCAATCAAGTTTAGTTGCTATAATGAGCCAGTGAACAACTGGTAGTTAACGTCACTGAAATTAGCTGTCGCTTTGAGCTGCACCTTGAGGAATTGGACTTTGTTTTTTTGTTGTTTTTTTATTAGTGGGAATGAAATTCATGTCGTTCAGTTGCGTTAAAATTTACGCCGACGAATCTTGAAGAACAACATCGGCTTAAAACTACCTTTGGCCTTTTTTATGTGTGCCAATGAATGATTCAAATCAAATTTGTCTCTTTATGACCTAACGAAAGCACAGAAGATACTTCATGAACCAATGTTTTTATCGGAATATTCGAATAATATGTCGAAAGCCCGTGACTGTTTCTCGAACTTTCTCTCCACGTCTAACATTGGAGTGCCTTCACTGAAAACTGTTCGCTACTATAATCGCGTCGTCTTCATTCCAAATAAGTGATTATAAGTATCGCGTGTCAGATCATACCGCGTTTTAGCCATTTTCGCCAGCAAGTTTAATAATAAGGTCTCATTTAGTCTCAGGTCATAATGTGGTGTACTTTTAGGGTGTCTATTGTTTTATCTGAGAGAAAACAGCTGTCCCAGGATTCAGGCTTGGTTATTTAAAAAAAACTAAGTTTTTACAATGGCAATTTCGATCGGTTAACTTCACATTTCTTTGTCCGAAATGTCGTTTTAATCATTTCTAGGCATTCATTAGATGTTTTTGACCATGTTATTGTATTTTAACTGTAGGATTCCTCCATGCTGGAGGAAGTTCACAGATGGATTTGGCATGTGGAAACTCTTGAAATGATTTGTAGACTATACTGTAGTGTGGACCAAATTGTCAGAACAGACAAATCAGCTTGTAAAGACTCTTTTCTGATCATGAACATGTGATTTCAATTGAACACAGACGAAGAAAAAAACGTTTAGGAGCACATTCAAATCTGGTCTATATTAAGGACGCTTTTTTATGTCTGTCACGTTCTCACTGACTGAAACCGTAACCGTACTGTTAATATCATGGCATGAAACACTTAGAAGAACACTTAAGAGTTTCCAGACGATTCTCAATGCAGATGTCCAGCACTTTTTCTCTGCTTTTTGCAAATATTTTTCTATGGAAAGTATTGCAGATGACTAAATAACACATCAACATACGACTGCACAGACAGCACGTTTATATGATTTCTTAAGAAAAAGACAAAAAAAGACAAGCAAAGCAACAAAAAAATATCATCATTATTGATATTACATTGGTAGTCACGAGTAGCATTATTGTAGATATTCGTCCGTAGCTTAGTTCGCTAGTGATGTCATAATTGTTACCTCGTTTATTCCCTCACACTTACGTCACTTCCTGAGACAGTATGTTCTGAACAGCCACAGTTTGTTTCATTGTATCCCAGATGGAGATTTTCTCTCTTTTTTTGTTTGTTTTTAAAGTTGTGTAATTGTGTTACATGTGAGGCGAGCACGACGATTATACATCTGGCTCAGCGAGAGCAACACTTTAACCAAGTTATCACGATTCATTTCGACCAACAACCTATGGAAATGGGATGTCTTGATCATGACGTTCAGATCTCTATCTCTCTCTGTTGTTGCTCTGTATGCTGTAATATTGGTAATATGAAGCCTTTAATGAAATATGACAGGCAGCTCCCAACACAAGCTGGTATCCTATAGATTCTCCTTAGGTCTCTCAAAGCTCAGGTAGAACCTTGGTTTAGCACAGTCCTTTTGTCCATTAGTTTGTTGGTGACACTTTCCCTCTTACACCTGCTAACGACAGTTGTATGGTTTATTTTTCTATGTGTCATGGTTTTGAACCACAAGATGGAGCTGAATCCTCCATTTCACCTGAATAAAGACTCTTCCACTTTGTTCTCTTGATATGTATTTAGTTCGGTTGGTTTTTCCTTTGTGTATCATCATGTAGTATTCTGTTCCCAGCGCTGTTACAGTTCTAATCCAAAATGAAAAAAGCAATAGCACTGTTTGAAATTCATTATTATTATTATTATTCCTCATTACCACCATAGGTGTATTAACTGAAGTAAATATCTTTTGTACAAACACATTACCACTGTACTCTGCATTTATTTGAGTATTTCTGATGTCAGGAATTTTAAGCCATGTTCAAGCAGCACAAAGCATGTGCAAACTACATCGTTTGCATGATGTGTAAATGTTTTTATGACTACAACAGGTATATATACACACATGCACATTATGGGGACATTTTAAGGGGCCAAATGAAACTACAACATACAAAGGTTTCAAAAATAAACATGTACTGCTAGAAATACCACACTTCCACACAAACAGAAGACGGTTACTGAAATATTTTGAATAATTTATTTTCTTTCCACAGTATTCATATTCATCCATGTGTTTAAATAACCAGAAGGCACCTTTAAATTGAATTAGTCATTTCAGTATATCTCCATAACCATTCCAGTTTCAGATTGAACCCACAGCTTGTGGTAACAGCCTACAACATCCTTAAAAGTTCACCAACCACGGCTCCAGAACATTTCCACCATTCTTCCAAGTGACTAAATTACACTAATTTACTTCCAAGTGACAGACATTTATTTTGTACACAATACTTGTTTTTTCTAAAACTTAAATTAGAGGCTCAGGTGAAGTGAGGCCAGACAAATAATAATAATAAACCAGTGCCTGTTTTTACCAAAGCCCTTTGTGCAAAATAATGCCATCAGTGCTTACTAGCAGTTTAAATGCTTATGCTCCATACCTACACAAATCATGTTACTTTGAATACAGTTTAACAGATGAGATAGATAAGATACAATGGCATCCATTATGATAGATGAACCATTTTCAGACATATTACCTTAAACTAAAACATTTAGGATCAAATACTCTGAATCTGTCTTGTTTTACACACACACAATCGAATCTATACAGGATCTTATTCAAATAGCTGAGTCCTGTTTTATTTTCTAAAATTTAATTTATAAAATAATATATTTTAATATTATAAAAAATAAAACAAGACGGGATGCGAGTAATGTTTTATTTAATTTTCAAATAGTGTGTATATATATTAATATACGACTGATTTAGACTAAAATCCAGTATAGATTTATGATGGTTTTTATTAGTACCAATGGTTTTTAGCAGAGACTATGGTTACCATGGTGTGTGTTGGGGTGTACAGTATATATCAAACCCTACTTCAGTAAAATTATAACTGATTTACATAAGGGGTATATTGAAATTAGGAAATTGTTTTGCAAAACAAATAACTTTTTAGTTATTTAATAATATATTTATATAATATACGTATATTTTTATTATTAAATAAGTTGTTTTTGTTTTGCAAAACCATTCCCTAATTTCAACATACCCCTTATGTAAATCAGTTATAATTTTACTGAAGTAGGGTTTGTGGCACCATCTGGGGGGAAAGGTAAATATGACATATCCGTACAATATGTTTGTGTCGGCACTTTTTTTTTTTTTTAAACAAAACCAACTTTTAACTGTTAAAATGTGAGATATGCTTCAAGTATCCCTGTATCTTCCTCACTTGCTAGACTTCAGGCTAAATAAGATCATCGCCGCCATAGCCAGCATCATCCCTACAGCTATCTCCTTCATCCTGCCCAGTTGTATATCCTCAACCAGCTCCTCCTTCTTCCTGATGATCTCTTCTCTACGCTGCCGGATCTCCTGCTCTCTCTTAAGCTGTTCTCCATAGTGTGATCTGATGAAGGCATCAAAGTCGAAGATGTTCTGCTGGGTGGCTCCAACAGACGGGGAGTGTCGGGTTCTGCTCTGCTGTCCTGATGCTGGACTCTCTCTGCCGGCGGGTTTGCTGGCTCCCTGCAGGTCAGCTTGACTCAGGATCCCACGGTCGTATTTCCTCCTCAGAGCTTTATTACCCAGGACGCGGTACGCCTCGCTGATCTGCGAGAACCTGAACGCGGCCTCTTCGCTCCCTGCGTTCTTGTCTGGGTGATATATGAAGGACTGTTTATAGTAGGCAGTCTTGATTTGTGCGTGCGTGGCGGTTGGAGAAACTTCCAAAATATCGTAATAAGCAGACTTTGATTTGTATAATGGGCTGCCTTTATCCTGTGTGCCACTATAAGCTCTGGTTAAAGACATAAACTGCCATAAATAATCATTTGGAGGCCCATAAAGAGTCTTTTTATAGATGGACCTCCTTAACTGGCGCTTAAAGTTTGTGCCAGTATGGCTGGACAGGAGAGGGAGTTTTCCATGAGTTCCCAAACACGAGCTCCTCCAGGAGGACACATGAACTGGAGATGCCTTGGAGTTCGATCCATGGCGATCAGTGCATTTAACGTTACTAACATTTCCAGAATGGAGGTCCAGCGGCACTTTCACGCTGTTTGCATCGCCACAAGCACAGGTAAAGAGTGAGTTTACAGTCCCTTCTGGAGTCTCCAGAGCTGCCGGTCTTTTAGCTGCTTCCACCCGGTCATTTCGAATCTCACAGAGCTGTGGTGAATTTATTAAAGCTGCAACATAAGCTGCCATTGAAACTGGTTTACCGTCTTTATCCAAAAGCGGGAGATATTTCGGTTTTAAAAGCTTGTAAGCCCCTCTCCCAAACCGCAGTCTGACCTCCGCCATTACGCAGAGATCAACTGAAGAATGCATCATCTGTTTCCGCTCACGGCAAATTGACCAGTCAGAATTGAGCTTCTTTGCAGGTTGAGTGAAATTTGGCCAATGCCGTGCGAGAAGAATATTTCCAGGCAAGAGATTGGTGGGGCGTTAAGGTTGTTGGTACATTATAATGATTACATAATAAACAGTGCAGATACTGTAGTATTAGGGTCATTCCTAAAAATTCAGTTCCTTCTGTAGTTTTAAAAATGAAACCTATTTTTATTTATGTATTTATTTTAACTAGTAGTGGTGCACGTATCAGGACATAAAGCGGACAGTAACTCAATGGACACAATAATTTTAAGTATTATTAATGCAAATTAATCACTACATTTTCGCAGATAATGTAATTGTAGACATTTAATTGTATAGCAAATTCAGTTATTTCAGCTGTTCTGAGGGCATAAGAAATGACTATTAAAAAAAATCAAAATGATGTCAATTAAAGGCTCTATTAAAATTATGTTTAGTTAAAATTAACATTATAAATGTTATTACATTAATGGGGCCACACATAAACACTTAAGTCATTCTGCTTGCCAAATACTAAAACTATTCTGGAACCACTCAATTCATAACTTAATTAAAACTAACTAAATTATAATTTGCCCTTCAAAGTCAGTGAATGCATATTTATACGGGTATTTCTGTGATTGCAAATTGTATTGTATCGTGTACTGCATGAACTGCGTGCATGTACACAAGTTACGCACGTTTATAATTCTCTGTTCATGTTTACGCCTGTAGCGGAGCGCACAGCAGAAAACATTCCAGCAGCACGCTGTCACCTACGTAACTTGCGTACGTGATTTCCAGCGCACACGAGCAGCCTCACATCCACCTGACCAGCCCACAGACCACACCTCTCGCTCGGCCGTCCTCCTGGACATCATAACAGTCGCCGACTGTCTGCGTGCGGGCCTCGATCGACGCTCGTGTTAGACCTGCTGTGGGTGTGTGCATGCAGCATAATGGAGCAGGCGAAACCCCGAACGGAGAGCCGCCTCCGCTTTCCTTTAGCGCTGCAGCTCCGCTTCAAATGGCAACATCACGGGTGAGGAGGTTCGCGCAGGAGGGGCGGACGGTCCCTCCTCAGCCGAGAGTAATGGTGGTGTTTTCGGCTGCGAGTGACACTGAGAAACAGGGAGATGCGATGTCGGGCGCGGACACCGGGGAAGAGGAGTATCGCAAACCAGCCATACCTGTCCCTAACCTTAATCTAGGGAAGTCCCTTCGCACCTTAGACGCACCTGAGGAGGTAAGTCCCCGAGGTTTAAAGAGGATGTTCTATTTTTATAACGGAGTAGTTGTAGTGTGCTGCATAGAAGTTAAATGCCAGTTAAAACGTCCACGTTCATCTGTGTTTCGCCCTCTTAATGTTATTTTTTCCAAAAGATCATCTGGAGGAGCCGTGTCAAAGTTTCCCAGCTTCTCATGCTCAATCATAACCGTTTCCATAGGCAACAGATGTAATGGGCGTGTTTGCCTCCCGATTGCTGCAAGCGGATTGGTGCTTTATCCCAGTGGGGCGGGTGGACGTCGTTTCTGATTGGTTCACATCACACGTCTATCAAATCATATCGACTGGATTAAACTAATCGTGTTTTGCAAGGTCTGTGTTAAAGGTGTCACTGCAGACTTCTACTGATAAACCCAGCGTGACCTGTCAAGATGTGTAATGTGATTAAGTCTAACACCTTTGTTTATCATTGTTGCCAACGGGGTTTAAGAGAATTTAAACATGTAACAGCATTCAAATTAACTTGGGAGGGGACTGATCCTGCATTGCTAGTAGATAGTTAAACGTTACTGTGCATAATTATAACTTTTAGTACAGTGATATATATGTCTTATCATATATACACTACCGTTCAAAAGTTTGTGGCAGGTTTTTTTTGTTTTGGAAAAAAATATTTTTATTCAGTAAGAAAGCATGAATGATCAAAAGTGACAGTAAAGACATTTATGAAGACATTTATAATGTTACAAAAGATTTATATTTCAAAGACATTCTGCTCCCTTGAACTTTATATTCATCAAAGAATCCTAAAAATGCATCCATGTTTATTGTGCACCAAATCAGCATTAGAATAATTTATGAAGGATCGTGTGACCTTTAAATGGATAGTTCACTTAAAAATGAAAATTCTGTCATTAATTACTCGCCCTCATGTCGTTTCAAGCCTGTAAGATCTTCGTTCTTCTTCGGAACACAAATTAAGATAATTTTGATGAAATCTGAGAGTTTTCTGACCCTGCATAGACAGCAATAGAACTTCCACGTTCAAGGCCCAGAAAGGTAACAAGGACATTGTTAAAATAGTTCATGTGACATTAGTGGGTCAGCCGTAATTTTATGAAGATACAAGAACACTTTTTGTGCATGAAGAAAACAAAAAATAACAACTTAACATACAGTTTCTTCTCTTCCATGTCAGCATGCAATGCACATTCACGACAGTACCACGATGCATGCATGCATATTTAGTAATATTTCAAAATTTTAAATCAAATAAATGCATTCTAGGTGAGCATAAGAGACTTAAAACATAAAAAATTCTTATCGACCCCAAACTGTTGAGCGTTAGTGTACATTCAGACTAATGTAAAAGTCTATTTGTGTTGCTCCTCTCTGTCCATAGTTCCCAGAGGTCATCCCCCTGAATGTAGGAGGTACATATTTCACCACTCGGCTGTCCACCCTGCAACGTTATGAGGACACAATGCTGGCCGCCATGTTTAGTGGCCGCCACCACATTCCCAGGGATGCAGAGGGACGATATTTCATCGACCGAGACGGAGCATATTTTGGGTAAGTGTTTAGATTAGAGAATATCTGATAATGGTTGGTGTCTAGTACCCAAAAATACAAAGCAAACATTTTGATTATCTGAATTTAGCATTTGCTTTATTATTTCATCAGTGGATTACTTAAATAACTGCTTGATATGATGTTTATTAGAAACGCTTATACATACTTGTCTGGCATTAGGGACATTCTGAATTTCTTGCGAGAGGGAGAGCTGCCTCAGAGGGACCGTGTTCGTGCAGTGCACAGAGAAGCTCAGTATTATGCTATTGGGCCTCTTTTGGAAAGTCTGGAAGACACTCAGCCACTTACTGGAGAGAAAGTGCGACAGGCTTTTCTTGATCTTTTGCCCTATTATAAAGGTAGTATAAAATTATAAATAAAAATAATAAAACGGGGTGGGGTTTTCAGCTGACTAAACAATTGTCCCCTTTTCTTCCAGAAAATCTTGAGCGCATTGTGGAGATTGCAAAACTTCGTGCCATGCAGCGGAAGGCTCGTTTTGCAAAACTGAAGATCTGTGTGTACAAGGAGGAGATGCCCATCACCCCTTATGAAAGACCGCTGTTCAATTCGCTACGATTTGAGCGCTCGGAGAGTGAGGCCAAGCTGTTTGAGCACCATTGTGAGGTTGACGTGTCCTTCGGGCCCTGGGAGGCAGTGGCGGATGTTTATGACCTTCTTCACTGCATAGTAAGCGACCTGGCAGAGCGTGGCATCTCTGCTGACCAGCAATGCATTGGCGTGTGTGACAAACACCTCATCAACCACTACTACTGCAAAAGGCCAATCTATGAGTTTAAAATCACCTGGTGGTGAAGGTGAGGTGTTTTAGCTGGTGTTTCTTTTGCCGAGAACTAATACACGCAAGTCTGAGCAAATGATGTTTGCTGCTGTCTAGTTACATGAAACCAGCAGGATCATAGAGTCCTACTCTATGTAGGAAATGAGAAGAAATAATGACAAGCTTTTGAATAAGATGGCTGTTATTGTGGCATTTGCTCTTTTGTTTCTTCATGAAACTGCAGTTTGCAACCCCAAATTTATTTTATGGGCAGGTCTATTGATTCCTTAGTTTTTGTAAGTAATTGTTTAACTTAGTTTGTTTAGAATAAACCCGGAATCGTTTCGTCCAGTTGTAGTTCTAAAGGGATTTTCTGGAATCGTCCTCAGAGGAAGTGGACTTATGAGAAACAGTGTTTTCTGTTCTAAATAGTACATCTCTTAAGTATGTTTCTGTGTTAGATGTATTGAATGTATTAACAGTTTGATCGAAGAATCAGTGCACTGGACCCATATTCGGAAATTGTTTGTGATGTATTTCTTAAGAAGGAAACTTTTTTTTCCCTACAGTATTTTAAAATGATTTTACCCCATTTGTTTTACATGAATTATATATGTAGGACCTGATCTGAGTCATGTTGCCAATAATGAACACCTTAGATCATGCAATCTCAGCAGATACTGACTTTAACAAGAATACAAAGGTCTTGTCTGGTATTTACAGCCACTCAAAGCTTCACATAAAGCCTTCTAAAATAACCACACATCACTAGGCAAGCATAAAAGTTTTGATTTATGACAATAAATAAACTGTTCTCAAAGGAGAACCCAAAATAGATTTTTTCTTTTTTTAGAATAAGTTTATGAGCTAGATTTAATATGTCCTGAATATGAATTAAAAGGAGCATATTTAAAATTATACTAAAAGACTGTAAGCCATTTTATTGCAGGTTAGATTGCCTATTTTGCTACTTTGACACTTTATGAAGTTATTTTCTGATGTCAAAAGCATTTGTCCATGCTTTTATTTGCCATATCCCTCAACAATTGCATATGATTTAGCATTATTTGTTATTTTAGTCATCTGAAACCTCTGTCTCTCATTGGTGAGAGCAGTGAAAGCCACATGAAGTTGCATGAGCTCTCTGTTTTGGCAGCAGAATATCTAAAACCAGTTAAAATGCTTTTGATAATCCTAACTGGGATTTATTTTCAGTCTTGCCCAGTTTACTTTATGTTGCTCAAGTCTAAACCGATGCATATTTGTTCTCGGTTGTACATTTGGTGAATACTGTTGTTTGTGTTGCATTATTGTACTGGCTCTTATTGTGCTGATAATAAACTATATATTTTGCAATTTCTTAAAAGCAGATCCTTTTTGTCACATTTAAACGTTCATAATAATGCTTCATTTATCAGTTTAGTAAACAAAAGTACAGAAGATGATGAATGCGCGGTATTTGTCATAGGGAATGTTGTTGACATTCCGAGCGCAGCCCACCTTTAGCCCTGCCCACACAACCCATACACCAGTCGCGAGGATATGATGTAATTGGGACCCTGGAGAAGAGACCGCTGACGAAAGATATGATAATAGAGATTTTTCAAGAATTATATTCACTTAAGCAAAATAGTATAAAAGTTCAGTTTCTGTGGGTCCCGGCACATATTGGGTTGAGAGGTAATGAAGAAGCAGATAATTTAGCAAAAAAGGCCATAGAACGAGAAATAGTTGATATTCAGATTCCTCTTAGTAGGTCAGAAATTAAATCAATTATCAAAATGAATATTTGGAAATTATGGCAGCAGTATTGGGACATAGATACCAAAGGTAGGCATTTGTATCATATACAATCAACAGTGGATAGGGGAAGAGTATCAGGTTGGAGCAGAACTGAGGAGAACATGATTACAAGGTTGCGATTGGGGCATACAAGGTTGAACAGTACAATGCATTTAATAAGTAAACATCCAACAGGGCTATGTGAGGTATGTGACGTTAATGAAACAGTTGAACACGTTATAATGTACTGTAGGAAATATACTGTTGAAAGAAATGAGTTGAAGGATGAACTAGAGAATAAGGGTGAGCGGTTTATAATTAAGAATGTATTAAATCCAGGAAGAAACATGAAATCAGTATTGTTACAGTATTTGGGAAGAACTGGGTTGAAAAAGAAGGTATAAGTGTTGTTGTTTTGTTTTTTTTCCTTCTTTTTTTTTCTCTCCTTTCAAATCCCGCTTAAGAGGGCTGAGGGAGGACGGAGGAGCTGAACACGCAGCGCCGGATGAAGCTCTATGAAGACTCTAAGCGGGTACAAGAATCAAGGGTGTTTGTATGTGGGTTGGTAGGTTAATCAGGAGATTGTAGATAGAGTGTCAATGGTCCATTTGAGATATAGGTGGCGGTAATGCACTTATAAGTCTGCGATCCGCCGTAAAGCAACAAGAAGAAGACCGCTGACGAGGTATCTGTCGCTGTCCTGTAGATTAACTTTAAATACCAAAGCTTGCCGTTATTTTAAATGTTTTGTTCAGTATGTCATTAGACTAGTAATGCATATTTATCATTTATCTTGTTGACAATGAGCTGTTGCGTTTGTTTTTAGCCACGTAGCTGTTTTGCTAGCTTGACCTGTCTGCCTGCGGCGGATTGAATGACATTCTATGTTATTTTCAGTCGATAATGTATTTTCTAGGTTACTTTTAAAGTCAACCATCTATTAGATATTTAATGAATGTTTAAGCTACAACACTCCGGCACTGAACGAAGTTAGTATATGTAATACTCGGAATGTAATGTCATGTCATCAGTGTTCAAATATGTTGATCAGAGTGTTCAATGAAACTATAAAGACAGATCAAACACGTTTGAACTGCTCACTTTTTCATTTCGATTGAGATTTAGTGCGTCGTTGGTTGTTTAATCATTCTCAGTGTAATTTAGAAATCAGTGATTTAATGTTAGGTAAATTCAGATTAACTGGGACATCCTCCCCCCCGTATAGTTATTAAAACTATGCATTTCGATATTTTACTTGCCCTTCAGCTCTGAAATATAAATCTAAGTATGAATATCTGATATTCACATAGTTTCATTTTCAGGTCTGCTCAAAGTCTTTACATGAGTCATCTTATCTCGTTTAAATGGCAGTGTTGACATCTCTGGTGTGTTCTGTAAAAGTTGCATGTCTTTGCAGAGTACATTATGTAACCCGACTCCTGTTGTCTTGCTGCATGGTTTGCAGAGCTGATATGCAAATTCAGATCACAATGTCAAACATGTTTCTTTACCTAGATAAAAGTGACACTATGAGTCAGCGCTCAGAGCGACGGGGGATCCATGTGGACCAATCAGAACTGCTGTGTAAGAAAGGCTGTGGTTACTATGGCAACGCTGCATGGCAGGACCTATGCTCCAAGTGCAGGAAGGAGAAGTACCAGAGAGCTCGGCAGAGACAGATCCAGGAGGACTGGGCTCTGGCTGAGAAGTGAGTCTTAAACGGCAGTTAGATCACGCAAAGAAACTTTCAGCATAATCAAGACATTTATAAAGCAGAAATTATGTTCAGACAGAATGCTGTAATGATGTTAGTTAGTTAGTTAGTTTAGTTTATTGTCCTTTCGGAAATTCTTTTTGTATCTGTGGCAACTCTTCAGTGATCAACAACAATAATTAACAATACAAACATCAACAGGTTACAACACATCACAAATAAATACAACCAGCACCAAACAGCATCCCTCTCACAACAACAGAATCACTGCCATAGATGTAAAATGACAACTGTGATATCACAAAAATTTATTTAACAGAGCTATACTGGATGATATAAAAGATCTTTGTGCACGGGCAGTCCGTAATAATGGTACCCTGTAACTTCGACCAGATGGTAATAACTCATATTCACCACAAAGAGGATGAGATGCATCGTGAAGAATTGTATGGCTTTTCCTCACAGCTCGAGATTCACATAGTTTTATCAGACTATGGTGTTGTTTACCTGCAATCTTACTAGCCATGTTAACAATTTTATTTAGTTTGTTTTTGTTTACTACAGACAGTGAGAAATACCAAGCAACAAAGCTGAAAGTCAAGATATTCTCCACAAATGAATGATAGAACACATGATAATGATGTGCTTCCTGTCACAGGCTGCAGCGAGAAGAGGAGGCGGCTTATGTCAGCAGTCACAGTTCCTCTCAGACCCAGCCTCCACAGTCCCACTCTCAGCACTCTCTCGCCACCTTCTCTAAGTTTGAGGAGAAGAAAACCAATGAGAAGACCCGTAAGGTCACCACCGTAAAGAAGTTCTTCAGCCCCTCCTCTCGCACGGCCCCTAAAAAAGGTACAAGGAGGGTGGGATTGGAGCGATATGAGTGTGATTGGTGTTGTTTTGCAGTAGGATTCGGCGGCTGATGTCCTGGGGCCGGTTGCACCAGCTAGATGTAAAAAATCTGGGTGTAAATCCTACACTGGGCTTTGCAACGTCCAGCTTTACGATAAATATTTTCGGAAAAATATTGTTGCACCAACTAAAACTACGATCAGTCGCAACTACGCCCGGCGTAGACAATGCTGACACATTCTCACGCAGTGATGGCTGAGACGACATTCACACTGCAATGGCTACAACTACTAATATAAAACTGAATTGCTCAAGACATCATAACAAATTAAGTCACCGTGCCATGATTTTGAGTAAACATTTTCTAACAAGTCGCGTTTTTTTTATATCTCATATGTAATATTTTACTGCATAATTATTACATGCTTGACAGAAATATATTTTGTATTCAATGTCGACAGTGTGGTAGGATAGCACAGAGCTTCGCGATTGATATCGCTTATCCTGCCCGAAAAGACCATAAACATTACAGTTCACGTCTGCAGTAATAATTAACTAACAGACATGAATCCTAAAAACTAATAATGCCTGAGCAAATCATGACTTTTCACTTTACACCTACCTCTGACTAGGCGTAAGATTTAGTCTCAGGCGTAGCACTACGCCGAGATGGTGCAACGGGTATAAATTCTACGCACGACTTAAAGCACATTTTACGTCCAGCCTAGTCTTACAACCGGGTGTACGTCCAGCTGGTGCAACCGGCCCCTGGACTGGATGGACAAAATTATTATTTGCCCTTATCAAATATGCTTTATGAATATTATATTTGGTTGGACAAATGAAAACTGATTTAAAATACAGTGGAGCTTCACATGTTGTGTCAGGGCTGTAGATTTTCCCTGCGTCGCCACTTTTCCCTTAGAGCCCAAAATAGAAAATCACACATACCTTTGCTTCTGGATTTCTTTTAGAAATCATGCTTATTTCATATGCAAATGTCTGCCCTTATCATCATCATACATAGTCCCAGTTTGATTTTACCATTGGATAGCATCTCTCTGATAAAGCCTTAAACTGTCTGCATGCAACATCCAAACAGCAATTTGTAATTTATGCTAGTTTAATATTACTTTAATGGACCTGAATGTTGGTAATTAAAAGGCTTTATCATTGAAACATCAAGTGTAGAACGTTTAAAAGTTCAGTGGGATCAGTACAGTTTTTTATAATCTCTTTTGCTTACCAAGGTTGCATTTATTTGATCAAAGATCAAGTAAAAACTTACTATTTTGTGAAAAGTTTTCTTTTTTAATATATGAAGAGTTAATTTGCAAAAACCGATAACAGAAATCACGTTTTTTTTATTGTGCATTCCAAGTAATATCAATCAAACTGCAGTTGGGTTGTTTTGATTAAGTAATAATAACTTAAACAAATACAGGTAATTTACAAAATTAAAGTTCATTGAAAGTATGTTTTTTTTTTTTTTACATATTAAAAATAGTGGTCGACCGATAAGGGTTTTTTGACAGCCGATGACGATATCTTGGAAAGCAGGGTGGCCGATAATTTTTTCAAATAAAGCCAAGGTAACACTCATTTTACATACAGCACGTAATGAAAATGACATGAATATGACAGTGGGCAAATGCATAAATTGCAGCATATTTTGAACGAGAAAGTATTATAATGTTTGCCTTTCTATTACTAATAATATTAAAGCAATTGTTATAATACTTTTTGTATACAATTTAGTTCCTTTGTTTAATAGTTCTATCTGATTATTAGATAGACTTCTATCCATATTAGACAGAACTGAACGAC